TGAAAAAAGTCCAATGTCATATGGGTGGGAAGTAACACTTTGAGGGCCACTTTCACATTCATCAGAGTTTTGTTATGCTAGAAACGTTTTCTTCAACGGTATCACATTTCTGTACAACAGAAAAACTTACATTGTACTCCGTTCCCCGTTTTATATAATTTTTCACCGCATTTCCAAAATTCTCGAATTGTCTCAAAGATGACAGAACGTCTAAGATTCCAGAATCATCGCGTAAAGACCTCGCGAATGACAGCCAGTCTCGAAAACTATCGCGACTGGCAGAACAGAAAGGAACCAGTCCATAACAGTATTAGTTGAATTTGGTTTCAAAAGTACAACCCTATTATAGTAAACGTTTTTTTCAGTATTTTGAGAAATACCGTGAGAAAAAAAGGTAGGCATAAGGCAAATAAAAATATATAGTCTTAAAAAATAATACCGCATAATTTCTACTAAAATTTTTATTTTTGCCATTTTGTCTGAGCTCAAGGGGGCTGTTCAAACCCCTAAACACCTCCCTTGCGTACGCCACTGCATCAAACTACGGTTGATTAGAGAGACATAATTTTCATGTGTCTACAAATCTCCAGGCATACGCAGTTAAAAATTTTAAAAATATATATTGAGTCATAATATCTATCGTGTTTTTCAACAATTTTAATACAGTGCCAAGTAAAACCATATTTCCACATGAAATAAAGAAAAAGCGTTTTAAAATTCAACCAGAGTCAACAAAGCTGAAAGTTGTGAATTATTATTTGCATCAAACTACGGTTTATTAAGGAGACATAATTTTCATGTGTCTACAAATCTCCAGGCATATGCAGTTAAAAATTTTAAAAATATATGTTGAGTCACAATATATATAGTGTGTTTTACAAAAATTTTAATACGTTGCCAAGTAAAACCACATTTCCACATGAAATGAAGAAAAAGCGTTTTAAAATTCAACCAGAGTTAACAAAGCAAAACGTTATGAAATATTATTTGCGTTAAATTACAGTTTATTAAGGAAGCATAATATTCTTGGAACTACAACTCTTCAGAAACACATTGCTGAAAAATTAAAAGTATTTGTTGAGTCATAATGTATAGCATGCCAAATTTTTCAACAACTTTAATACGATGCCAAGTAAAACAATATTTCCGAATTTTATGACATGATTCTATGGTTAAACTTGCGTGATTTCTAAATTTTGCTTAGTTTACAGCAAGTTTGCTTCATATGATGGTTTAAGGTATTATTTAATTGGTCAATTTTGAATCGGTAATTAAATTTCTATGCATAAGGATCTCTAACTCAATGTTAAAAGAATTACCTGAAACTTCAGGTTAGAAGAATTCCAATAAATTCATATATTGAGTGATTCCAACAAAAAATGTTTTTATCGAAGCAGTCTAAAATATACATTTTTTGATGACATATGAAATAAGAGGATATGAAACTTTTTTCTAACTTTTTTCTTCTCTTTAAACCATCCTAAAACGAGTATAAAAAATCCGTATATTTATTGATCAGTTTTTGTTGTCTTATTAACAACAAAACCTTTGTGTGGTAGAATGTTTTCTTTTTTCTACATTATTTGCAACGTTTTTCAAATGTTCAACATGAATCTTTCGTCAGAGCTTTTATTAAAAGCCGGGACTAATTTCACAAGAGCACAAAATACATATCGTATAGTTGCTTTTAACAACTTTTGATGAGTGGCATGATAAAAGAGCTTGAATCTTCGATAATGGATTCTATTTCAACAGTACATTAATATTCTTTGCAATAATGTGTAAACATCATAATTCAGAAATTCACATGAAACAACAAAGGGAATTTTATTTTATTCATAATGACTCCTTTTATTGACTTTTATGAAATATCTCCGCTTGTGTAGAAAAATAAAATGCCATTAAATCGGAAAACATCACATTATGATACAAACGCTTTAAGTGACTAGAGTAAAGAAGCTTTAAGGAGCTTGAATGTTTCAGTTCAATTTGCTCTCCTTTTCTAACTTTTTTATTTGTTTAATCATATTTGCTTTTTTCTTGTATAAATAAATACATAAAATATATGTTATTCTTGTTTATACATTTTTGAAGAGATGGTTTTGAAAAGTTTTGAAATTTAAACCAGAAGCAATGAAAAATAATCTGCCAGAAAGCGCTTTTCTCATAATATTATAAAATAATAACAGAAATGACTTTTCTTCTATGATGGGCATCCCATTTCGATCTGTGTTAAGTGTTAATGGTCAAACAATCGATAAAATGATTTTTGGTACCTACTTTAAAATAACTTTCATGATGTTTGGAGTTGATATTCTCAGTAAAAAGTCAAAAATTAGAAAGTTTGCTGTAATATTTTTTAAACGTTGCTTCCTCATATTCTTATTTTTTGTATATATTGACTATATTGCAATGTATACCTTGCTATTGTATCATTCTCCCTCGTACTTAGTAACATACATTGCTAGCATTATTAACGGTACAATCATAGTTGTCATGTGGCTGCTTGTAATGAAGAATCAGCGGAAAATAAAATATTTCATGTCTCGTATGCAACGATTTTCACAGATGTATAGATCATCCACACGTTGCGAAATTCCATTCGCGTACCTTGCTATACTCCTTATATTTACATCAGCTCAAGTATATTCCTTGTTAACAGTGTTCTTCGTTCCCAGGACAGAACTTTTATTTGAGTTTCACAAATATTTTGCTGAAATCACGTCCTCAAAGCCCATTTTAAAATGCTACTTGTACTTTAAATGTGTTGAAATTTGTATTCTGCATCATGTTTTAACCGGATTATTTGCCGTTTTGTACTGCACCTTGTGTTTCCATTTTTCCCTGATACTGTCTAGTTGGAGAAAAAAACTGATTCTTCTAATGGGTTCCTGCAACTTGGAAATGGTCAATCCAAGCTTTCTTAAGAGGTATTCCATACTTTTAGATCACGTGGAAGATCTTCAAAATACATTTTCAATACCTTCATTTATGTTTACAATGAGCATGTCCCTCTCCCTCTTTGTTGGCCTGTCTTTTGCTTTCATGCACAAAATGATATTTCAACGTACGACAGTCCTCAACGATATCAAGATAACTGTAGCGTCTGCTTTGTATTTGCTTTGCGTCATGGCTGCTGGTTCACAAGTCGCTGTTGAAATGTATCGGAACAAATTGCTTTTTCGTCGAGCTTTGGAAGCTTTTAATGAACACATACAGCAATTAAAGTGTTGCAATGCAATAACTAATCAAGCAAGAAGCATTGTGAGTAGATCAGATTTTGTGTTATCAGCGTGTGATGTTATACCATTTAATAGAGGCACGACTTTCGCAATTTTCGGCACGATATTGACGTACAGTTTGCTTATTTTAAATGTGAATTGATGTACCACCTTATAGAATTTGATTTTTGCACATTTTAAAGAAATTAAACTTGACGGACTGACGAAAACTAAAATAACACTTTTAGATGATTTTATTTCGTTTAAGAAAATACATTGGAATTTTGAATGTATTCTATCTTCCTCTATTTTTCATTAGTAATTATTTTTTGTGGATTTCTTTTCATTATTCTAAGTCTTGTTGTTTTATATTAAATATGCTTAGAGTTTTCTCATATATTTCATACTAATTTTATTTGTACTTTATACTTATTTTATTATTAGTTTTATGACTTTTATTAGTCTTTAGAACTTAAGCATTATTCTATTACCTTACATAAGTAGTAGTGATTATTTCACAAAAATGCATGTTTTATTTAAGTGACATTTAAGATCACACATGGCATTTATGTATTGAATTATGTATTGATTTTTACCTCATTTAGTCAACTTAATAAAATGCTTAAAATAAAATGACTGTAAGCACAATACTTTAAGCCGATGTTTCAGTAAAATGAAAACTGCAGACACAATAACTCTTTTCATTTTTATTTAATTAGCTTCACACAGCTTCACATTCAATAACTCAAATTATGTAGTTTTCGTTGTGATTGAATATTTTCAGAAAGTTTTTCTTCAATATAAAGGTGAAATATTAAAAAAAAATGCCCTGCACTGAATTTAAAAAAAATATATTACACACGCAAGGTAACGATATTGAATGGTGTTGTCTGAGAAGAAGAACGAAAACTAAATCTGTCTGGCTAAAAACCAGAAAATAAGCTGGCCGTGAAATACATCTATCTAAATACCATAATAATTAGGACATTTGATACCATTAACAGTTTTCAACTAGTTAACTTATAAACTTTGAATAAAAACTTTTTTTAAATCCTCATGTCATTAATCTGCTAAAAACAACTTTAAGAATTTTGTAACAGAAGCTATATATATACGTATGTATTTAAAGCAAACTAAAAAGTAAAATTATGCACACACAAATTAACGAATTACAAATTAAGTCTTAAACACATATTAAATTATCTAACACAAAATGGTCACAAATTAAGATTTAATAAAGGAAAATAAATTATCGAAACTACTTGAACTTATTAACGAGGAAGGCGAAAATAAACTATCTGAAGATGAGTTGAAAAGTAATTATGAATATTCTTCTAATTTTTGGGGCTTTATATGTTTTTGAAAATATCCTGGTCAGCAGTGAATTTTTAATCATTCCTTTACGAGGGATATAAGAAAATGTATAGATTAAGGCAGTAATTTCGGGACCCCCAACTTATTAATATTTTTCATTATGACACTAATTTTTTCTTTAAAAACGGCAAAATTAACAATGTTTTATTATAATAGAAATATCTATCAGAAATACGTAAAATAACGAAGAAAAATCAACGAAGGAAATTAATTAAATTAATTTTATTAATATCAATAGTATCGTTTTTTATTACGAGGGCAGATAAAAATATCATCTGATAATTCAATTTTGCTTTCTGAAAGTAATTAAAGTTAAAAATAAAATTAAAATTTTTTTTTTATTTAAACTTCATATATATTTTATAAACATAAGAATTGCAACTTAAAAACATGCAACAAAATCCATTATGTTTCCTAGAAAATAAAATGGAATATAAATAGAAATTCTATGAGATAGAACAAGAGTTTTAAATTTATTATGAAATGAGTTCATTAAATCGTGAGCTTATGATAAAGTATTCATTACTTTATTCTTAATTCTTGAATTAAATAAGCATTCAGTAATACGAAAGTTATACTTGCCTGATATTTGGGACTAAATACATAACGTAGAATTTCGTCGTCATCTACATCTACGTCAACATAAATTGGACGGCTGTAAAAGACATTATTTTTCTGAAATTGCCTGATTTTTATATGGAATAAGTTTAAATAATAATCTTAAACTTACGGGTTTCGCTTGGAGTTGCTATTTAGTTCCATCTGAAATGCATAAAAAATAAATGCAGTTACAAGAATAAATTAAATTGCAAAATGTGGAACATTCTTCATACTATGAGTATTTAAGAACACAATGTGAAAATTCTGTTCGTGTAAAGAAATACTTTTTTGAATTCACTGATTAGTTAAAGTCTACATTCCGACAATTTTTATTTCATTAGTTTCTCTTTTTACTTTTCTCTGATATTAACTTGAAACTCTTTTTTATATTAAAAAAGAAATCTTTCAGAAAAATAAATAAAAAAACAAACATGGGAAATGCTAATTTGGGAAAAATAAGCCATAATGGCTTCACTTTTGTACTGTTATCCATATTAGTTAATTCAAGTGATGATATGTACTTTTATGCTTATTTTTTTCAAGTTTACCCTTGATCCTGGTGTATCAAGGAATCCATGAATTGTATGCTTCAGCTCTTATTAATTTTTTTACCAAATAAGGTAGATAATGAGAACTATTGACAAATCTAGTAATGTATATTAGAATAACTTGGCATTAAAAAGTGCACAAGCTTTCTTATATTAATTCTAAGCTTTCACAAAAGTACAAAATATTGAAGTTGCGTTCCACCAATAAAAGAGTACCCTATTTCTTCAAAAATAAATTTTAATTGCAGTAATTTCCCAATTGTCTTTTCGTTTAAAGCATTTCTTCCAAAATGGAAGGATTAAGAAACATCCAAAAACAAAACCTAAAACTCCGTATCAAATTACTTTAAAAGTACCAGCATTCAAGGTATCAGTATTTTTTGTCTTAAAATTCCTTTTTACAATAAATTTTAGGGAGTAAAAAATCCAGTACATCGTAATTTTTACAATATTTACTGAATCACCGTAATTAAATAAATATAAATATATCACCGTAATATTTCCCAATTGTCTTTTCGTTTAAAGCATATTTTCCAAAATGGAAGGATTAAGAAACATCCAAAAACATAAACAAAAACTCCGTATCAAATTACTTTAAAAAGTACCAGCATTCAAGGTATCAGTATTTTTTTGCCGTGCAATTCATTTTTACGATAAATTTTAGGGAGTAAAAAATCCAGTACATCGTAATTTTTACTATATTTACTGAATCACCGTAATTAAATAAATATTACTATAAAAATGATGGTATAAATTTTACGGTAAGAAAGAATTTTATGGTAAAATGGATTTTATAATAAAATTGATTTTAAGAATACGGCATGCAGGATCCCTGTCCTTTTTACCGTGACTTTATCCTGAATTATTTACGATGTACTAAGCTATTGACACTTAATCTTAGATTTGTATCCTATTATAACAGTTAATAATGTTCTGAAACAATTTTAAATTAATACAATCAATGATTTTTGCTATTCATACATAGATTGAAAACAACGGATACGATCTCTTATGAATATGCAACAACACATCTCTGCTAGACATCTATGCACTGTTAGCATTAAAATTCTTATTCCAGACGCAGCAGCAAGGCCACGAACAAACTGATGAGTCATTGTCAGCCTACGGCGTCCCGCGCTTAGTGCCGAGTTATGACCTTGTGCAGAAGTCGTTGCTCTGTGGCAGTCTTGGCTGGCATTTCTGGCGACAGCTTGAAATTGATTCCAGAATTTGGATATCACTTTTGGTGACACTAACCTTTGAGCCACCTCAGCTTAAGAGTCACCTCAGCCTCTAAGAGTCACCTGAGCTACCTCAGCCTCTCCCGACGAACTCAACTGTCAAAGGGGTAGAGATGGGGAGGGGAAATTCTAAATATGGTTTTAATCATTTTTATTTAATTTTGACAAATAAACTGAAGATGGATATTTAGTCTGTCTTCCTATCTTCCAAAAATACAAGACTAGTTAGCATTCATAATTTGAGGTAAAAAACGTGGAATTAAAATTCACTATAAATTTTTTATGACAAAATTGTAACAATACAATTCTGCAATCCACAGTTATTGAGTAGGTTGTTAAATAGTATGGAATCGCCCTGTTTTTAGATTTTTGATTAGATCTTTGATGTGCAATTAATCTTAAAAAGAAATTATTAGCGTCATCCAAATCGGCTTTCATCAGTTTAAACTGTTGAAATTAGATTTAAAAAAATATAAAACTGAGAAACACGTAGTTTTAAATTACTTACCCAAATCCACAAAGCGCATCATTTTATTGCTTTAAAGCTTTAGGTGTAAAAATTATCAAGCGCTATTGCTCCTAATCTAATAAAGCGACTTTTTCATTTTCTACTTTTTAAGGTGACGTCCAGTCTAATAATCTAATCTAATCAAAAGTTTGCAAAATATATAAAAAAAAATAGTGCGCGGAGTCCCTCCGAGTGGAAAAAGTTAAACTTCGTAACCTGCGACGTTAAGTGTAGAAGAATCAGCAGTCGTAGAAGGATCACTAGTTCTATTCAACGGCTCTTTTTCCTGCTCCGCTCGCTTCCGTGGTCTGTAATAACGGTAATATTGTGCATTTTTCCCTCGTGGACCTATTGAACCAGTGGAAGTGCTTGTGGTTGCCTCATCGTCTCGCCATGGAAAATGTATTTGTATTAATAATGTATGTGAATGCGTCATAATGTAATTTCAAAAGAGAAAACCTAACAATCAATTGATATTCACAAGAGACGTACCTTAAATCCGTCGCAGGGAAAAATATACTTGAGGGTGCCCCTTGGCGAAATTGGCGACTTATGTTTGGCGCCATACTTGTTTGCCCGGATCGCCATGGTAACCCACAAACAGGACATTTATATATATTACTAATTAAACCTTCATTCATGCACCAGTCAATCACTGCTTTTTTCCCATTGTTATTCAAATCGTACAGAAACTTAAGATTTATCTTATTGACAGTATTCATTTTTAGTACCAGAAGCAAAAGTAATCTTACCAGCCGGTATCCAAAGGAATCTCTGAAATTACATTTAAAAATTCATTTAAAAACAACGCTAAATTCTAAATTAATCAGAATCATGATTAAAATCTAAACCAATCAGAATCACGATTGGTTTTTAACATCGCCCAGCTTGGCGATCAATCGCGATTACACTTGGCGGGGGCACCCTCAAATATAGTCTACCCCCGTCGCATAGTCCGTGGGATTGTTTTCACTAATTTTTTACAAATGTTATCCACTAAATTTGAAAATAAAAAATACTATCCTATTAAATATATGTGTATCAAATCAAACTAAAAAAATATTTATAGAAAAACAATACTTTTAGGACTTTTATTATTTTTATGCTAGTGAGAACCAAAAAAATATGAAAATTAATGAGGGAAAACTGGATCCTTCCACGTGATTTCCCGACCAATAAAAATGTAGCGTTAAACGTTTAACGCAACCTTGTTGGAAGTCGCATAAGAAGTATAACTTCAAAAACATAAATTAAAAATTTGACCTAAAGTCTAAGAAGGCGTGGATAGAGGCCTCTTAAAACTGGCCAGGTTTAAGCCTGTTAACGGCTCTACATCTCAAGAATTCATCTAAATTATTATGAGAACTAATTCTCACTACAAACGGGCAAACTTGTTTCTTTTAATAGAATGATCATAAAGCAACAGGTTATAATCAAAGGTGTTTAAAATGCCTTATTCCAGTAATGCAGCAAAATCTAATGAAAACAATTTATTTCTCTAAAACGAAGGCATATATTGCACAACCATTGTAGCACTTGTTACTAAAAATAAAATACAAATTCTATTAATTTTAATAGTAGCAATTTAGAATTATTTAGAAAAACATTTTTATGCCCTTAGTTTTGGATATCGGAGTAGATTTGATTGGAAAAAAAATGATGGAACAGAAGAAGCAGTGAACCATCTGGTCATATTCTGATACTTCTTGTCTAGAACAGGTTGCAGGAGTGTTTGCCAGGCCCCCTTAGAGTACAAAGAAAACAAAATGCAAAATAAGTATAATAAAATACATATATTTTATAAGGAGCGGGTGAAATTTTAACGGATTGTTTCGAGAAGAAGAGAAGTTAAGATATTAATGTTTGCCAGAAAGAAATATATTGCCATTTCTTTCATACCGACCTGGGTCACATATGATTCTATTAACTTTAAATTTTTTTTATGAAAATTTCTTATTTTTTTCACAGGGACAAAAAAAGTTTGAGTATTTTTATTACACCTTCTTAAATTAATAAGATTTTCCTTAATGTAAAAAATAAATAAATTCATGAAATTATTCGTGGCAAAAAAAAATCTTTTGCGATTGGTTAGTAAACTCACTTATGAACATTACTTCCTCGTAAATTGGAAGGAAAAATATGTAATGTATGAATAAAAAATTTCCCATAAAAAAATCGAACAAAAACACATTTAAGGGAAAATGTGATAGCCTACTCAGGGATATCTTGATAATAAATTTGCACTAATTAACTTTCTTTTTATGGGTGGAGCATAAGAAAAACAACATTTTTTTTAACCGAGGTACAAAAAATCACTGAAAATCAATAAAAAGAGGGATTAATGAGAAAGTATTAATGAGCAAGATTTTTCCAAATGGTCAGAACAACCAGAATTCTTTTAAAAAAAGTTTGAAAACTTTATAGCCTGAAAAAACATATTTAAGTGACTCAAGATAAATTTAGTTATTAAAAGTCTGTTAAAAATAAAATGAAATAGCTTGAACTGGAAACTTATAACTATTGAGGATTGAGAGGAATAAAATAATTTATTAAAAAAACGTTATTTTTTTAAACTGCAAAAATGTAGATACCAAAAGTAGTTTAATCTGATTCAAAAATTTGTAATAATGATGCTTAGTTTTAAAACGATCAATAACAATTAAAAAAGTGAACAGCCCGAATAACTTTTAATCTAATTATCGGATTTTCATGTACTAAGACCGAATCATTAATGATTCGAAAGTATAACCTATTCTAATTAGTTAAAGAAAATGGTACTTTAGGTTACAAAAACAAAGACAAAATCATAATCATAAATATTTTATTGTTAATTTTACCAAATGGCTTAGCCAAAGCGCTTCCGTAATAATTACCGAGATTTTTGGTGTTCTCATACAGTCAGAAATACGCTGATAGTTTTGACTATACTTTCTTTCAGTGACATATGACACACAGATCATGTAGTTTCATGTGACACATAGATTATGAGCAAAAATTAAATTAAAAATCAAAAATTTACCAATTAAAATTAGTTTTCTTTGTCTGATAATAAACACTCAAGTTTTGTGTACATTTTTTAAATTGGCTTTTTATTATTAAACTAAATTAGTACTGCGTTTATAAATTGATGAAAAATTTGATACGCACATTTTTCGGCAAGTGAATTTCACGCACGTTAGCCAAAAACATCTTCCTCCTGAAAAGAATAAAGGGTTATTATTAATGAATAATGGAATAGTTATTCCTTAAAACACATATAATAATTATTATTAATGATGTGTAGGGAAGAAAAAGACACCTTTGAACCTGGATGTACTTTTGAATACCTTAAACTATAATATTGTTTGGGTAAAAGGGGAGGGGCTAGTCACTGTTCAACTAAGGAATTGAATTACGTTACGTTCAGCTCTTTTCTTGAATATAACAGTATTTAGTTTTTCACGTTCGAATCTAAATTAACGAAGATAAAAAAAAACTTAGAAATAAAATTATTTTACCCTTATTTCTTTAAATTTATCATGAAAGTTTAACTGAAAGCTATATTTTCTAGTTATTCTATTCATTTTGTTGAAACACTTACCTATAATAGGTGTTTGTAACTGTTTGTATAATAGCTGTATATTTAGTGAATACATCAGAATGTAAAAGAATAAATAGGAATGTTTAAAAAGGAAATTAAAATAAATTATTATTAACTTTATTTTCAGCATATTTTGCCACCACTTTCAAAAAAATATTCACTGATATCGATTACTATTGGTAAAGAAAAAACACAACGGTTAGAAATTATGCTGAAGAGTGAAAGATATCCGAAGTGATGGGGAAAATAAAAAAATAAAATTAAAAAATCTATTGGTTTAGAGCTTATAATACCATTAAGACTTAAAGCCAAAACATATAAAGCTAAATTTGCATCATTATAATGTCAGTTGATAAGGGAAACAAATAGTTTTCCTGGTTATTGTATAAAAAATATATATTCTTCAATGAACAATGCTCCAAAATAAATAAATTACCCTGAATAGCTTTTGATTTAATGATCGGATCTTCACTTTTTAGGACTCAATCTTAATTGCTCGAGTGGAAATTTGAGTAAAAATGATTTCATTCTTTAACACCATGTATCTCAATTTAGTTACCAATCAATACTAACAAAACTAAAAATACTGATTCATATATATATACATTTTTTGTCAATGTTAAGCAAATGCGAGAATTACCTAGCAAATCATTTTACGAAAGCAAGTTATTTCAAACAACTGACAAATAATTGTAAAAAACTGCAGAGATACATACTTTTAATTTAAAAATCGTGTTATGGATAAAAAATTTTGCAGTAAAGATGACATTTTCCTTGTCATCTTGGATTTCGTGCTAAATATTTGATTTTCGCTTTTCTTTAAAACTTTTATTATTTAAAGATTTTTAACAAGTTATTTCAGGGTAATAAGCTTGTTTTGTCATTTTGCTTCAACCAAGTAATTAAAATAAGAAATTTTAAATAAGAACACAAAAAATATAAACTATGATTGATTATTTAATTTTACTTACAAGCATTCCTCTTTGCAAGCCTCCATACAACTATCAACACTATTCAATTGGTCCATACACTCTTTCGTTAAATAATCCGGGTCTATGGCATTATCTTCTGAAATGAAATGGAGAATTTTCTCTGTCAATTATTGTATTATTTTTGACAAATATTTAGTGCTGTAAATGAAGGATTCATCTCGATTTTTTTGAAATTAAATTTCATTCCTTTTGTAAATTGTAAATGCAGTATCATTTTGTTTAGAAATATATATATATNTTGTCGATTAAAAAATACATTTATTTTTTATCCAATTCTTAGGCATTTATCCATTCCAATATCCTTTTCTAAATTTCCATTGGGAATTTCCGAATTTTCCATTGTTCAAATTAGAGCTAAGAATCTTCTGTAAGCTCCTTCATAACACGCGCTGCTTTTCCTATTACTTGTTCCTTTGTAGATTTTGATTGTGGGAAACAGATGAAATTGGTATTAGGGTTACACAGCAATGTTGTACTTTGCAAAAACGTCTTGACAGACAATGCAGAATGAATAGGCACAATCTCTTGGTGGTGAACAGATTATTTCTTCCACAACCGTGGCCTTGTGTATTATTTGTCAATTTCCGTAGTTACAGAAATTACACGACCAGTTAACCGAAGAAACTGGTCAGAATTAATCTGATTACTGACTTTTTTTCGTTTCTTTTATCCGTTTTTGGCGAGGAAACGCACCCTCAACGTGAAACAGCTAATAGGCCATCTTGGAAATCTTCAAACAACTAAAATATACGCATACTTGATAAGAATACTTGCAAAGAAATAAGATTAGAAAATTAAACGTCAATGTTTAAAGGTAGTAAAATCACGGAAAATAATGGCAGCATCTTGCTGTCAGATAAGAAACCGAAATTTAGTTTCATTTTATTTCTATTTCCATATTGTCTTTAAAACCGTTATGCATTTCTCCACTAAAAAATGTTTCCTTAGGCATTTAGACAATTTAAAGTTGAAGTTTCAAATAAAGTGTTCGAAGCTCTCACTTAAATTAAACGAGAAACATCGTGAATTCATTTTAAATAGGTGACCAAAATGTTCTATATTATCATCTATTGTAATTGATCATAGTCTAATGCCTAAAAGTTACGGAAGTCCAAAGTTACACTGTATAATTTATAAGTTTAATTGATTCCGAAATTTCTACGTTATCGGGTTTTGCTATAAGTTGTTTTATCTTTGGTTTTAAAGTAAAAGACAAGTATTCTCCTTTCTGTATTAAAATATTTTTAAACTTAATAAGCAATCGATTTTTTTCCCTTTTTATTACAAACATATCAAAACACATGGCTTCTAATCCATACTATTTTGTAATATTTCAAACAATATTTTTTTTTATTTTCTATTTCCAATGAGCTGTACAATCGGTCTTGCCGATGAGCAGACCTAGTGCGTTCTCCAGAGGTGGTATCCACTCTTTCAGGACAACCACAATGGGTGAGATACCGTTGGTCATGTTAATTTGGACGTCTAGTTTGTGCCACACTAGATGGCAGCACCGAGACTCTATTTGGGTGCTAAAGTGCACTAATACAATAATTCAAAAATGGATTTTTTGCAAAATATAATCGGATAAAGTAAATAGATGAAAGGAAAAAAACCTACTTTTTGAACAAATTTTTTCTTTATCTGATGGATAGCTTAATACAAGTGCGGTGCAGTTGATACAGTTAGACATGAAGTCCATGATACACTTCTGCTTGCACATCTGAAATTCAAAAAAACATTTTATGCAAACTGTTAAAGTTAGCATTTTGAAAGAGCAAGTAAAATTTTCTATTACAAATAACAATTTGTAACTTTAAAAAAAATGGAGTCGTTCCTCACATGGAAGACTAGTATATACCGCAAAAATTTGTCGATTAAAAAATACATTTAGACACTTAGTTACAAGAGTATTGAAATACATAATGAATAATGATAATTAAATTAATACTAATAATTAAAAACAGAATATATATTAAGATCTTGTATCGATCTTGAACTATTTCCCAGTTGACTTAGCTGAAACGCTCATAATGAGGTAAACTACACTAAATTATTTTATTAAAATTTATTTGATGTAGTAAAACGTATTTAAAAGTAATCAATCACCCAATAGGCTTAAATTAAGATTGCCATGGTAAGGTGAACAGTATAAATTTGGTAAACATGTGCTTTAGGAGCCTTCTGGGAAAAAAAATTGAAATAAACAAATAGATTAAATATTGTCAACTTAGTTTCTCACATTTTAATCTGTTAGTTTAAATTAATTCAGAAGACCAATTACTTTCATCTATATAAAGTAGGACTGCTCTAGGCTAAAGGTAAGAAAACATTAAGCATTTTCAAAATTGTAACAAATAGAGGTTATGCATAAACATGATATTTTTGTATCTCCTGTTGATTTCTCTAGTCGAAGTAATTAAAGCTGCGCGTTCGATCGTTGGTTGCTGTTAAGCCGTTCGCTGGTTGCTGTTATAAAGCCTCCTTAATAATCGGTTCACAAATTATGTTTAATGTTAAGGAAAGAGATCTCAACATTATCTTTCTTTTTAAAACTATAATGTCACTATCACCAACCATCACAAATATATTTAATTTTTCTTTTGTCTGTTTTATCAAAATTTTCCACACACATAAACATTAATACTACAACGGCGCAGATTATTTAATTTTCAAAACATAAAATTATTGTAGCTTTAAGTAAAAACACTTTCTAAGAAGTTAATTGGGCCTTGGATTTTAAAAATAATCGTCCTTACTTGGGAAAAAAACCAAATGAATGCGGATTATTTTACTCAAGACGAAGAAAAAATTAAAAAATAATTTTACTCATTGACATAAAAACAATCAAGTAGGGAACAGTTTTCATGGTTCTTTATTAAGCGTTTTTGCTTTTAAAAGTTTCAATACAAATGTTTAAATTTATATCTTTTAACATTGCAATTTTCTCTCAACTTTTGTTCCTTTTGCTTGAGCACGAGCTCATAAATTAAGGAAATAAATATCTCGTGCGAAAAAAAAATTCTACATCAATGGATGATAGTCAATAAAGAGAAAAAAGTGAAAAAAAAATCCCGAAAACGCTCTTAAATTTGCTACTGCTTTCGAACAAATTAGAATTACGAAACAAAATTTGCCCTGTTCCCAAATAAAAAAGGCTCTTTCAGCATGCAATGTAGTTGCCTTTCAGCAGGATACAGATCGATCAAATATGGTATTTTTCCCTGCAAGTTCCCCCGTCGTTTTCCCAGTACATTTTTCTACATCCTGTCGTAATTTTAAAATTTCAAAACTGTTAGTTTCTGCGCAGCTAAGCAAGCGTAACATAAAAAAACAATGTGGAAACAAACTACGAAAAAATTTTTAGAATAAACTTGAATTTTAATAAAAAGCAGTGTTAAACTAATAAACAAAACTGACCTTTTCAGCACGTCATATTTTAATACTAAAGTGGCACTCCAGTGACCTACAAAATGGTCCATATTGTATTTTTAACGTTAATTTTAACAGTTTAGAATTCTCGGTTCCAATTTTTTTCTTCATTCCAGCTTACACCTTAGATATTTTTCTAAATTCCATCGGAAGTTCAAGTTTTTAAACCACATAGGTTCTGCGTAGCAAAATAAAATGTAACTTAAACGTAAAGTCTCTAAACAGTAGCCTTAAAATATTTTTAGCAATTACTATTTAAAATTAACTGCTGTTAGAACTAAGTTCCAAGATTAAAAAGTAAGTGAATCAAATCGGACATGAAAAATAAAGTAAAATGCGACTTAAAGCATAAGCATTTTTTTCAGCAAACAATTTGAATTTCTTACAATAGAGTTGAATTTTAGCAGAAATTGTTAAATGATTTGATAACATTTCAAAATTCAAAGCAACTCCTACTCCTTCAATTAAAATACTCTAATAAAGGTAGCATGAAACATAAATTCAATTTCATGTTTAACACTTTTAAATAAAACGTTTGCAATATGAGCTTAAGTTTTGATATAGAAACACTTTATTATGTAACCGTCATTGAACAACCGACCCAATTTTGAGTTTACAACTACCAATGTTCAACTCTGTAGCCGTGTAATTTTGAACCCAATACAGAAGACAAGGGAACACCTGTATTAAGTATTGAAAAAAACTTGTGGAGGACTTTTTGATGGAACTAACCAACATTTGTGTTTCCTCGAGAGGAAACCTTTCATATTCGAAGAAAACCACGAAGCATCTCACGGCTAGCAAGACAGCAAGGGGACTCTAACCTAAGATCCGTCTACCACAAAGAATATTTTACGTCAGCACTGAGGTCGGTGCGGGTCGGGTGCAGAATTCGTATCGACCATTCAGACTCGGGTAAACTTATTGGGAGGCTAACGCTCTATATCCTTAGCAACCACGGCTCTGAGAGAGTGTATAGAGTAATTTTAAGGCTCTATATTTTATATGTACTTTTAAATCTCGAGTCAAAATCTAAGTCAGGGGTAACTAACATTAAATTAAAAACACAAATCAAATGGCGGCCCGCAGCATTATCAAAATTTTATGTAGGACTCTTTTATGTTTGAAGGCGCGTTGAATATTACTGTCAGAATTTTGTCAAGTTGTAGAAAATAAAAGTATTGAATTACAAATTAAAGTAAGAAGCAGATTTTTAAAAATATTTAATTACATATTGAAAAAATCGGGCTACAATAACTTTAATGTGAACCTATGTATTAAACAATTAATTTGCAACGGATATCTAATTGTTAAGATATAAAACCTTGAAAAGGTTGGTATTAAAATTTACATAGTAGCACACAAAATGTTCAATGACAAAATTGAGGTTTGTCTGCTGCAATCACCAGATAATAGATATTTACATTTTAAATTTAAAACTTACAAATGTGTGTGTAAATATTTCCGTCCAAATAAAGTGGTTTCAAAAAGTTAAATCTAAGAATTTCTTCGAGAAAATGTCTGATACACATATGCAAAATTATATTCACAAAAAACGAAAAAAAAAATAAATAAAAAAGCGCAATATACACGATTAGTTTTGTATTTGAATAAATATTTTCTTGGATGCAAAATCTGAGAAATAAATATTTTTGCATCGTAGGTATGATAAATTTCACAGAAACGAAGAAATTAGGTTTTTATGAATGAGAAAAGTATTCGCGGGCCACAAAAAAGTCTTCGCGGGCCGGATGCGACCCCCGGACTGTCAGTTGGAAACCGCCGATCTAAATAAAAAATAATGCTGGGAATCCGAAACTAAGAATTCGGTGAAGAAAAAAGCGAAACGCTACCAATATCTTTCAAATCATGACTGAGGTAGGCTGGACTGAAATCATCAAATTCTTGAATGAATTTTCTGAACAAACAGTTGAAAGCCAACTGTTAAAAACACCTCTAAGTTTAGACAGAAAATCAAAATCTTTTTCATACCACATTTGCGTCAATAATTCGATAGATTTTGCTAATGTTTCTACAGATAGCGTTTTCACTTCTTTCTCACTTAAATATTAAATTATAGTATCTAATATCAGTAATTTTTTGCTTCATTTTAAACAAAGATTTCAAATATGTAAATTAAGGATGGTCACTGAGGAATATCTATTATATTTTTTGAGATAAAACAAATTATTTTTATTACTCGTTTTGCCTTTTATTTTCGTATGCCTGTTTGTTTCTGTTTTTCAGTGGCGCCATCTATGGCCAGGAATTCGACTTCTGCCACGCCATTCACACAACCACAACCCGTTTATACGGCGGGTCACATTCACACACAAAGGAGAAAGGACATAGAACACACAGAGAGAGAAAGAAACATCCATGCCTTGCCCGGGATTCGAACCCAGGACCTTTCTGATGCAAAGACTGTTCTTGCTTTGCTTTAAGTAAATAGATAAAGAAAGAAATTCATTAGTAAAAAATAAAAAAAGATTTACCGCCTTCGATCGTGGTCCAGCTCTATTATTTTTATTCCACATTCCAATGTAGTCATTGCAATCTGTTTTGTAAGGATATGGAAGCAGCTGTTCTTCTTTCTAAATTAAATAATATTAAAAAAAAAAATTCAATTACATAATGCTTAAATTTACATAATGTTTAACTTTCTTTCAATGGCATGATACTTAAATTTACATCACGCTTAACTTTACATAATGCTTAACCTTATTTTCAATTGCATAATGCGTAACTTTTCTTCATTAACGTATTGCTTAACTTTAACAATCACGTAGCAAAATAGTATTTCAAAATATATCCTTCCGACTACGGATTTAAAGCGTAACTGCGATAATTAAATGAAACAAATAGAAAATAAATTATATTAAAATAAAATATATTAAAATATAATGTGTTAAAATAAATTATATTAAAATAGAATATTAAAAAAAATATTCATATTAAAATGGAATAATAAAAAAAATATTCATATTAAAATAGAATGTATTAAAATAAAATATAGAAAAATATATTACATTAAAGTAAATTATAATAAAATAAATTACATTGAAATAAATTAAATTAAAATGAATTATAGTAACTGAGCAACAATTATTTCCGCTATATTTTCGTACCTTTTGTTATTTAAGTTGTCTCAGTTTTAAGAAATTTGAAATTTTAAGGATTGATTGTGAACAATGCAATGTCGTACGTTTCTCTATCAGTTTTTATTTTTTCTTTTGTGAACTTTGCCTAATCACTGAGCGCATCCATGTTTAAGTAATTTCCAAAACAGAAAATTGGGTAACATTTCATATTTCGGTAAAGAAACCACTTCTTTGATCAGCTAACTTTTAAAAAAATTGCATCCGATCAAAATATTATAAAAGGATGGACCAAAGTCAGACAGACGGTCCTCTGGCTTGACGAATCTATGTCTCAACTTTTTGATTCAAATCGGAGTAGCCTCCGCAGCTTTCTAATCTGATCAAATTATTGTGAGATATCAGTAATCAAATGCCAATGAACACAGAAGACCTATTGAATGCTCTTCATTGTAGCAATGTTAGAAATTTTTCCAAAAAAAGATTAATTAACAATTTATTTAATTGTTATTTTATCATATTCAAACGAAACTGTGAATTAACCATAAATAAGATGGTAATAAAACTGTTAATTGTGAGAAAAACCATTAATTTATTGCTTTCAGAAATTACGGTTAAACAACCTGATATTTATCGCACCTAATGAAGCCACTTAGTTCTTTGCAACTGCGTACATATTATATCCGAGAGGGCTTAGCTACTAGTATGTCAGTCTCATGACTGATGGAACTGGGATTCAAGTATATCAGTATGACACCACAATATTTCTTCCATTTCCTTCAACATATTAAGAATTCCAAGTGTCCTAAACTCCTCAATTTGTGTCCTACACTCTCCAATGCCCATTACCAAATGAAAAGCTTAGTTCTCATGAACTGTTAAATTTCTTTTTCACGGTTTTGAAACAATGCTAGTTGTAAAGGGTAAAAAAAAAGCTGTATAGTTTTGTATTCGTGGTTAGTTGTAAACGGTTTAAAAACCGTAAAGGTAAAAAATGCACCGTAACTTTACGGTTAAACTGATGGACAGACTGTTGCCGATTTTTTACCATAATTTTAAAATGAACATTCTAAACCAGTATGCTAGAGTATTATACCTTGTCAAACATTGGCAAAATTGATCTAACGAATGCCTCAAATGAAGTTCTCATCAAGGCCAAGGTTGTGCTCCTTGATGAATGCTAACTTCCTTGATAGTTTTGTAAAAATAAAAAGAAAGTATGTATTTTTGTTTCAATTCTTTAACAATGTTTTTTTTTAATTTTAAAAACGGTACAAATAAATCTAATGTATGGATTGATATCATGTCATCTGAAATTTGTGGAAACCCTGGGATGCCATCAAACTTTTGACAAGGTTTGTATATGAACGTAAATTGAATAACATATTTAAAATTAGTCGATTTGAAAAAAACGAAATGCAGTACATATTCATAAAAACGCCTTTATCCATCAAAGCTGTATTTTTTAAAGTTTATATATTTTTGTTTTACATGTTTTTCTAAAATTCATTATTGCAATAAAAATTTTATACTCTTTGTCAGGGTCACGTGATGTAATAACACGCATTTTCTGATGTTGCGAGCTAAAAGCTTGATATTATAGATATGATTTTTCTTTTTTTGTTTTGGTTTTTAAAAGATGGATGAAAAAGAATAATAAAATGGTGAATTAGTTTTTGTAGAATTTTGCGTTATTTCTTTTGTAAAAGGTTACGACTGACACTCTTCAAAGAAAAGAAAAGGAATTTTGATTCGTTTGAAAGATAGTTTTATTATTTAAATAATTTTGTGAAAATAGAAAGTGTGAAAATCTCAATGAGCAAGTATTAGCGAAAATTAGTTCTTTCAACATCAATTGCTTTGAAATACTGCGTTCCTCTGTTATTCTTATGACACGCATAACTGCCCTTTTTCACGTAATGAGACACTATTAAGATACTGTTTTTCGTTATCTGTGCTATATACATGAAAAGTCACTTTTTCAAATTATTAGTTAATGACGGAAATTCTAAAAAATTATGAAAAAATTGCTAATTTCGCTATTTTTAAAATATATTATTAGTAGAAGAAAACATATCAGTAGAAAACCCATTCAAGATTCTGCGTCGTTTTTCCTTCTCTTCTAACATTATATTTTGAACTCATTTGTGATTTCGTCAAATGTTCGAAACCATAGTTTTGATATAAAAAAAGGAATATTGAAGTAAGGGATGATGTTGAAAATTATGTTACTTGGGGTTACCTTTCTAATAGAAACATTACAAAAAAAGAAACATCAAACAAAAAAAAATTCCTGGATGTTTCTATGGAATCAGACTACAACAAAATGTTCGATTTTTTTATGCGAACTAATAGAAAACTCCTTTTGTTATAGTTTCGACTGTTCAAATCTTTCGTATTATAACTTTCATAGTTGAAAGAATAATTTTATACTACTTATTAAAAGTTTGCTGCTGTTGTTTCTTATGCCACTTGCCTCACGGGCAAGCCTCCTTGGTGAAACCGAGCAAATTTAAGGCAAAGTGTGAGTTTCTTGTTTTTCAATGGCGCCATCTATGGCCAAGAATTCGACTTCCGCCACACCATACGTCGCACCCGTTTATAGAGCGGACCCATTCATACATCCATTCATCCACAGATCGTAATTTTGCCCTGATTCAAAGAACGATCGATATCCAATCCAGTACCACCAGAGGTTTATTAAAAGTTTAAATAATAAATATACTTATAGCCCTTACTCACAAGACATCACAATTAGATTTCAAATAATTTACTCAGAAATATTTCTGTATTCAATTCTATAAAGTTTTAATTTGGTTGAAAATTAATATTTTCCGTTGCGTTATTTTTAAAATAGTTTTGAAATTTTACATTCATAACTTGGAGGTTAGCTGAAATGTAATCGGTGATTTAAAAAATCAATTTTTAAGTATAGATAAGCGAAGAATAGCGGATTTTCTGAGTTCTACCCATAAAACATATAAAATTATTCTCAACAAGTTTCAAATTTAGTAACTAGTAACTGAGTTTTTCAACAGACACACTTCCAATTAAATTCTATAAAAATGGTTTGAAAAAAACACCGCCATTGACTGCAACAACCTGGAGCAGTCAAAGTATCACTTTTCTTTGCGAATATTGTTGCGAGGAATGATCCGACATTCTGTTCAGTTCAGTCTAGCTGGGTTCCTGAGGCCAATAATGGCCCTTTTCCCATTCAACCTGTAATGAGAACTTAATCAAAAGCAATAGACAGATTACATGAAATGCAGCAATTAAATGGCACATGTTGATCCGACATTCAGTAAAAAACGTAATTTTTATAGTTTTTCAAACTTATCAGAGCCATCTATCGACGAACCTTCTAATAACCAATTTTCAATCTTGTGCGAAATAAAATGCAGTTTCCTAAGCCGAACATAAAAAATCTTGTATTTCTATATCTTTTCGTTTTATTTATTTATTTATTTATTTAAAGAATTAATTGATTGAATCGTCGTTCATTGTTGTGACACTTATTAACTGTACGTAATCTCGACGTTTTGCGTTTTAGGGGATGTATATTAAATTAAGTTTTTAAAATGAATATACCAAACGTATGGTGATTTTGTATTTCCTTCCAGGTAGCATGTAGTGACCTATTTGAAAAGGATTGACAGCATCATATGGTGAGTGAACGGTGAAGTATATCCCTGGCAAAATATCTGGATCAAATGCATCTTCTTCATGTGGGTCAAGAATAAAACTCAGAACTTTTCCTCGTACTTCTGAAAAAAGAGTGAATTTTCCTTAAAACGCGTTATAAGAACTAGATATATAATTCATGAATACTGAAAAAAATAACGGAACATTTTATATAATGTTTGATTTAACTATCAGCTTTTAAGCATTAATATGCAGGACAAAATTAAAAAAGAACATGAATAAAACCCAAATCAAATACAGAAATACTATAGTTTCAGTTCTCTGGATAAGAACCTCCCACAATGTTTAAACACTGAATGACATTAGATAGTAAAGGGAAACACACGTGTGAAGTGGTTTAACCAATCAGGACAGAGGAACAAGTTTGAGTAAGATAATGAAAAGAAGAGAAATAAGAAACAGATGAGAAGGGTTTTAGCAGGAATCCCAAGTTGCAAAAGATTAAATCAGAATAGATTTTTCTACATTAGGAATGGATGGAATACTAGAAAGATCAATAACCAAATTATTAGAATATTTTTAAAAATGAAGTGATTCCCAGAAATCAGAGTAGATAGATGAAGAGCAACATTATTAAACTATTTTCCTTACCCTTCGATGAAGAACATTGTTGAATGATTTTAACTTTTCTAATGTCACTTTATTTTTATAATGACATTTGGTATTGTGTAGTATGTCCTTTTTCTACTTCATTTGTGTTTTATTCATGATGTTTTGACACTTTAGCCCACGTAGCACAGAATTATATTCTATACTTTTTGGAATGAGATGACATTTTTCTGAATCGAGGAAGGCTCTTAGAAACATAAATATTTTTTTTAATAGTTTCTGTAACAATTGATTTTTTTAAGTGTATTTATATGACTTAAGGTGATTTTATGGGGATGATTTTCTTAAAAAAAAGAAGAAAGAAAGAATTTTTTTTTTTTTTCATATTGCTCAGTGGCGAAGTCGGAAGTTATAAAACCGCAGTTAAGCTGGTGGTCGTCAGATCCTTACTGGCTTCAGACTATAATACCTGCGCTTTAATGCAGCAAAATTCCCGCTAGTTTGGTCGTAAATGAAAATCCTTTCGTTGACTGACAAAATTAAGCTACCAGTTCGATCTCTGCTTATGTCATATGACCTGAATCAATGACATTTCCATTATGATCTTTAAGAGCTCGAGTCTTGGAAAACAGACCTAAGTACCTAATTATAAATGTGAAGTTTTTATTCAAATTTGTAATCATATTCTAATGCATAAATGAAAATTTTTTAATGGAAACTGTTATTATGATTTAGAATTAAGTGAGTTTTTGTTTTCTGCAGCAAAAGCAATCATTAACAGTATAAGGCCTCTTTCATGTATAGTGCGAAAAATAAGAAATGGGCTACCCTGAACAGCTTTTGATCTAATGATTCGATCTTCACGTTTTAGAACTCAGTCTTAATGTCTCGATGGGAATGGGACTTCAAATATGCTAACTAATAAGTGCACATGATATCTTAAGTTACAAAAATCAGACACAAAAACATACTTTATCTGAATAAAAATTTTTTTTTTTGACTGATTAGGATTTTAAACCCCTAAAATATAGGGGGTAGCCTCAATCTGGGAAATATGATCCCACTAGTTTGGTCAGGCGAACGCTAGTTTGGTCCAAAGTTTGGACCCCTTAATGTAGTTTTCGCGTATTTCACAACATATAGAGAAACTTTTTAGATTTTTAGAACTTTTTAAAATTTTTCCCACAATTATAAAATTCGTTTATACAAAGATGATTGAATGCAAAATATAACTTTCAGTAAGCATTTATTTTTTTCTTCGATATTTTATTTGTTAGTGGTCAAAAAAATTTTAAATTGTAAGATTCAAAAATTTTTGCCTAATTTCAAAGAATATAATTTTACATGGCAAAATCGCTTGAATAGCTCCTGAGAAATCGAATTTAAAATATCTGTTTTATTTGAAATTCAATTTCTCAGTAACTACTCAATCTATTTTGATAAAATTTTGTATTTTATCATTTAAATAATATTCTTTAAAATGATATAAAATTATATACCTTACAATTCAAAATTTTTTTACAATTATTGAATGAAATAATAAGAAATAAAAAATATTTTCTAGAAGTTATTGTTTCCCTGGAATTGTCTTCGAATAAACGAATTTTATAACTGCGTACAAATATTTTATATTTATCTACAAATATTTTATATTTGTGTACAAATATTTTATATTTGTGTGCAAACATTTTAGATTTGGAATATATTATATAGTATTTGTTTAGACAGTAAAAGTGAGTTTGCGTGCCTTATTTCGTAATTTAAAATATCGTCTGCGAAGTCATTAAGATTGAAGCCTAGAACGTGAAGATCCGATCATTAGATCGAAAGTTATTTAAGGTAATCCGTTTTTTTAAAGTTTTTTTCTTCTTTCCACTGTACCTCAAACCTCTCATACTATGTGTTTAAATCAGATTTTCACAATAGTTCGGAATGGGGGCTTATATATTTGTCGATTTGAGAATAAATTAATATGTAGGTAAATGAAACAAAAACCAATCACATAACAGTAAACAAACGTTGTGGTGATATAATTGATATAGAGGCAACAACGAATATCATGGTGACCAGCAAAATTGAGAGAAAATCAGTTCCAAACCAAAAGGCCCCCGATTCTACACCTTAACTCATATTTTTCTTAAAATACTTAGGGGAGAGTCGGGTAGCCCCGTCCAGCGGGTACTCCCGCCCACTATCAATTTCATGCGTATAGAATATTTTTTTCAAGTCAATGGGCCATCAGGCATTAATTGTTATATTAAAAAAAGATTATTTTCAAAGTTTCAAGTATTTATGCAGCTGTTAACATGGTAAACAATAGTTTTGAAAATATGTTGAATACAGTAGTCATGAAATTAAGAAAAATTGGTTGAATGTTTCGATTAAACTTCATTTTAATACTGAAAAAATAATTTTTTATATACATACAGCATTAAAGTATGTAGTCTTAAGTTTAATTTGCACAAAGAAAGAAGTTTATATGTGAAAAATTGTTCGAGTAATTAGAAATTTGCAAAAAAATTGGATTTCGGGTAGCCCCGCTCACATGAATGTCAGGTATCACCGCCCAATTTTATTTCGTCCATAAATGTACGGTTGCAAAGATTATTATTTTATTGCTTCAAATTCGAATGTTATATGCATTTTTAACAACAAATATTGTTGTTATTAAAGGATTGTTATTAAATGATTGTTATTAAATGATAGAATTCACTAAAAGTATATAAATATGCAATAAATAAAATAATTTTGTGATAAAAATGATAAACGAGTTTTACTTATCGTCAAAACATTGGTTATTTTCATTTACACCTGAAAAAACAGTCAAAAAACTTAATTTTTGTAACTGGGCGGGGCTACCCGACACATTTTGAAAAGAGCTGAAAAACATGTTTTTTTAAATTTCTATTTTTTTAAGTTAAACTATTCTTTTTTTGGTTTATTCTTTTTGCATTATTTAGTTAGATGATAAAACAATAGAAACATACAGAAATATTGATTATTACTCAATATTATACAGAAATGTAAGCAATTCTCCTTAAGTGATACCCGACTCTCCCCTAATTTCTGCAAAAAAAGGAAATATTAAGTAAGAAGGAGGTAAAATATTATTTAAAAAGTTTTTTAAAAAAATGGATTTCGTTGAATCATAGCTCATGGGGTTAAATTTTTTTATGAAGATTGCTTAAAAAAAGTGCCAATAATGACAAGAACTGAAATAATATGAAAATAAGTATCCTGAAAAAATAAATGTGTGCATAGGCAATGAGTTAGTTAAGTAAATACCTAATAACAAATTATTTAGTTACAGTTGATATCTACTGTATTTTGTATACTTTTCCTTAATTTTATTATTAAACTTCTTTTTAATATCTAGATAATAAATAAATCTGCATAGAAAGTTTTTACTACATTGATCAAAGATTTACATTTTTTAATGCTTGTATAAATAATACTTTTCAATAATCTTACCCCTGTCATAAAATTCGGACTTTTTGACAAGTATGGGATTTTTTGGGCTTTGAACAATGGAGTTAAATGCTTGACACAGAGAATAAACATCCAAATCAGTATCATTGAAATGTCGCACTCTCAATAACGATGTATTCGAAAATGAAAGTTTTCTGAAAAAGATAAAGGAAATGATACAATTACCGTATACATTTCTTTATATTAAAATGAAGCTCTTTCGATGAATAATAAATACCGTTATTCACCAAGTAAAATTGATCTCTATATTCTAGAACAAATACTTCTTTTATTTTAAGTGATTTTTAATCATTTTCTGAAAAAATGATTGATTCTAACAGAAACAGACATTATTTTTCGAAATACGTAGTTTCAATCTAACATGAAATAAAATATGATGAATCAACATATTTTTACTATTTTGTATTAATATTAAACAGTGCTTTTTTAAGTAACGAAAAATAATTACAATCAATGTATTTTTTTCGTATATTTTATCACATATAAACGGCTATTTGCGTTAATTGGACAGTTTTAACGCGAACAATCTGCCATTCGTAAACAATTGCCAGCTTTCTACTTTAAAATAATATGCTTCTTGTAGTCATTACATTTAAGAGCAACAATTTCTTAGACATTTTTGATGGTGATGACATACAATTTCCTGTTGTGTCATCTTTACTTCCGTTCCTGTTCATTTATTTTTATTTTTTCCTTACCATTAGAAATTTAAAAAAAAAAAGTTCTTAGACATTATCGTAGCAGAATCATCGATTTAGATAAATAAAAAAATTATTCATAAACATAAATTACTGCTGAATAATTAATTATAAACGACGAGTAATGATGTTTAAGGAAAATTTTAGAGTAAAACCTCTGTTTCTAGGATGAATATTTTTAGTTGCCTCTCAAGAAGTAAAAATTTTGGTAGTAGATTTTTTCCAACAATTGCTTAGAAACAAATACCCCTGAAAAGAAATTTCTATTAAAAACTAAACTGCATTTTTTATAGAAATCTCTCTGTTTTTAAGGACATTCCGTCAAAGAATTTGCTGTTTAACAGAAATTTTATCGAAATTCACTCTGTTTCCAAGCAATCATAAAATTTCGCTTGATTATTCTCGTCATAACCATATTGAATTCCAACAAAGAATTGCATCCTTTGTAGTTGGGTAAAATTCGTTGCCTCGCAACAAGTAAAAATGTGACCGGTATTAGATTTTTCGAACAATTGCTACGCAACTACCGTATCTGAAATGAAATTTCAATTATAAACCAAACTGTACTCTTTATAGAATACTCTATGTTTTTAAGAAAACTTCATCAAAGAATTAGGTGTTCCGGAGAAATTTAATAAAATTTTTCTTGGTTTCCAAGCAATTGGAAAAAAATTTGATTTTTCTCGTCATAATCAGATTATATTCAAGCAATGGTAAAGAAGAAATTTCCCCTACACATAATAATGTTTACTCTTGAGAGTATAATAAATAACACAGTTACTATGATTACTCATTTAGAAAAAGTTACTTACTTATACTTTTTTTACTCTTGAGAGTATAATAAATAACACAGTTACTATGATTATTCATTTAGAAAAAGTTACTTACTTATACTTTTTTTTACTCTTGAGAGTATAATAAATAACACAGTTATTATGATTACTCATTTAGAAAAAGTTAGTTACTTATACTTTTTTTACTCTTGAGAGTATAATAAATAACACAGTTACTATGATTATTCATTTAGAAAAACTTACTTACTTATACTTTTTTTACTCTTGAGAGTATAATAAATAACACAGTTATTATGATTACTCATTTAGAAAAAGTTACTTACTTGTATTCATCAGAAGCGATGGTATCTTGTAGAATATCTTCTAGACTATATCCCATCTGAAGTACATCATTATGATCAGTGGCCTGCCAGTAAAATTCTTTTTTTACCTGAACCAAAATTGTATACTTAAATTTTATAATAAGTACGAGAAAAAAAGTATAAAGTTATGAAATTAAAAATTTCATCCATTACATCATTAATTTAACAGTAGACAAATTTATAATATTAAATTTAAACATTATTTGAATTTACAATTATAAGAGCAAAATAATAAACCATGTTATAAAAAATATAAAATTTTTAAAACATTTAATACATAAAATTTCGCTTAAAAAATAGATATTGATATGTAAATAATGTGTTCCGCCAAATTTAAAATTACAGAAGTAGTTAGAATTAAACAAGTAGCTAGAACTGGGGTTCGATCACTGGTGGTGACTTAATGTCCCTCCAGTTTTAGATGAATGGGAACCAGCTTGTCTTGAAAGTAAAGGCGATCACTGGACAATACTGACTGTATTATCACAATCATGCTACTGGTCATGAAATTGTGGAGTCTTAACACCCATATATTATATAGCTGATGAAAGGATTAAAAATTTAAGAGATGTAAAGATGTTTAATTTTAAAAAAAATTTTACAAAATGAATAAATAAATATATATAAATAAATAAATAAAAAGGAAACGCTGAGTCTAGTCATGGAAAATGTTATATCATTACCGAGTTCAAAGTGGTTATGATTTCAATATTTAACTTTAGGCTTACTCTAACATCCGAAGTCCTGCAATACTGGCTATATTCTTCACAAAATTCTTTATCTGTTGGAATGCATCTATTAGGATACTTAGCACAATATTTACTTCTTCTAACTCTAAAAGATAAAAGCAAATGATGTTAATAATTGATAGAACGCAATTCAAGTAGGTTATGTCCCCTGATGGCTTGGATTATCAAACAGCGCGATTGCTTCATCATAATTTTATTTTCGTTCAACAGATTCATGATGCCACCATAGATATTGCATATTTCCTGACTTTTTATTATTTTCTTATTTCATAAATTTAAACTATTTCATAGTTATATCAAAAATTTATATTCATATTTTATATAAGAGTGAATGGAAATATTTTTATTATTTTTCTCTCCATTAACCTAATATGTTAAAGCAATGTACAGCTAGTAAAATAGCGGTCCACCTTGAATAAGTTTTGACCAAATGAATGGATCGTCATGTGCTATGACTCTATCTTAATAGCCCAAGGAAGTGACCTCAAATATTCTAATTAATGAGTGCAGACGATATTTTAAGTTACGAAATAAGACACAAAGCGTACTTTCTCTGAATAAGCACACCTTTTTTTGACAGATTTGGATTTCTGACCCCAAAAACATAATGGTTAGCCGCAATCTGGGAAATATGGTCCCAACAGTTTGGTTTGGAGAGCTCTTCATAACATGTTATGGAAAAAATCTGTCATTCTGTAGTTTTTACAATAACAATTACCGTAAAATCACTGGATCATTCCAATTAAATAAATATTACAGTGAAAATTACGGTAAAATGGATTTTACAGATGTTGCCTCCGAAGTGCCTTTACTTTATACTGGGATTTAATCTGGAACATTTTACAGTGTGTGTAAAAGGATCGAACAACAGAGAGAAGCTTAAAGGGAATTCAACCTCCTGGCAACAATAATAATTTTCATTTATTAAGAGTTATTGATTTTATTTTGTAAAATAAAACTATATATTATGCAAGCTGCAAAGAATGAAAAAAAATGAAAGAATATTGAAAATTTTTGTGTTAATGTAGTCCTTTCATTCTATAAGGTTATTGCATAAAAAACATTCATATTAACTATAAAAAAACACGATTTTCCTACCGATAATTTGTGCGGCTTTCAGCTGATAATTTGAAAAAATACATGAAAAAAAACAGTCTTGAATATTTTCTAAAGTCATTGTTGGACAAAGAAGATGCAACACACAACACCTCCTAGAATAGAGAAGGTCTCAGCGCAAATCAATTTAGTAGTCCGACGTAACGAACATAAACTGCGCAGTGGAGGTTAAATAGGACAGATGTCACGACATTCGGGCTACTAAGCTGCGAAATGGAGCTACATACGAAAGATGTCATTACTTTTGAACTACTAAATAATCAAATTTCTTGTTTATGATAACCCGTGCTGAAGCCTTCTAGGAGAAATTGGGCCACAACTGTGAAGAGTTATACAATCATTTGATTATTTCTCGTAGTTTAGTCGTAGTTATAAGCTCAGAATATCTTTATCCGATTATTTACATGGACAAAAGTTGGGTTTACTGTCATTTCTTTAGAGAATTAAAAATTTTGAAAATCTCACCAACCTCTTAAGAATTAAAAGGGTTATAAAAAGTAAACTAACTTTGGGTAATAAGATAAATGGATTTTAAATTTGTATTTATCAATCTCAATCGCAAAAATATTTTAACGTAACACTATTAGAAAAAATCCTATAAAAGGTTAAAATTATAAAACTACCTAAACAACTATTTAATCATTCAATACTTAATAGTTTAAATTATTAAATCAATACTTACATTTGGCTGTTACACATCGTAAAAGCTGGAGCCATATATTCATCGGGGTTACTTAAGTCAATATTTACTACTGTTGGATATTCATAAAGATATGTAAGAAATTTTATGACCTGATATAGAAAAGCGCTGGTAAAAACTAAAAAGATTATAAGTTTGAATGCCTTTCTAGGCAGGCTGTTCGTTGAAATAATCTCTGAAACAGCACTCACAGATGATTCTCCCAACACTTTTCGGGCATACTGTCTAACTGATTTCTTATGTTTCTTTTCCTCAACTTCTTCCTCAGCCATGGAAGAGTTCTAAAAATCAATAAAATATTTGTATTGTAGCTAGATAATAGTTGAAAAAAATTTATTTTCTGTTCATTACATAAAGAATACTAATATCGTAACGTTTACTATGACATAATCCAAACTGAAAAGAACTTTTTGAAAGAAATTTACATTTTATTCACTTCATTAACAAGGTAACAGTTTTATCAGTAATTATTTTAAGATGTTCTGTTTGTGTTGCAACAAACAAAAAGAAAATTTAGTAAAGTAAAGCATACTGATTTAATTTCTAATTTTTATTTTATTAGCAAATATTATTGCAAACATGATTAGTAAATATGAGGTGACAATTATTGACATGATTACTTCCCCAACGAAAAAAATGAATAAAATGATTTTTGTAATAAATTTTTAAACAATTAAGTTAACATAAAAACTCACTAAACTTAAGTTAACTAAAAACTCACTAAAAACTAACTTTTTCACTTTACTCTGACTATTTGATGATATGAGACTGTTTTGTGGACGAAATTGTTTTTCTCTGTTTTTCATCTAATCATAAACGGATTAAAATTGTCACCTCAAATTTCAGTTTTTTTTATGCCGTTTTCCTAGTCGTACGATACCGTATGTTTAGCAAAACGTTTTTTAAGCCAATTTACGATTATTTTTTTAACACTCTTATTTTTCAACAGTCAGTTTATGGTTTTGACCATTCTATAAATAAAATTCTGATTCGATTCCATTGTCAAATTGATACTCTCCTTGGTCATTATATTACCTTAGATATAGTTTTTTGTAAGTTAAGTAGTCAGACATTTTTACACTGAAACATTATTTCACTAAGCAAAACTTCTAAGGTAAAAATAATTATTTCTTTTCACATTGAGATGCGGTAGCTCATGGAAAGAGCGATTGGCTTCCAATGAGGTGGTCCAGGTTTAAATTCTAGCGTCGATTAGTCGTATGAGTGCTGCTTTTAGCTCGCAACGACTACAATGAATAAAAAGTTATTTAATGAAGTTTTTTTGTTAAAATAACGGAGTTTGTTTGTTAAAATAACGGAGTTTGTTTGTTAAAATAACAGCACTTATCTGCTTTAAAAAAGCAGGTGACCTTAAATTTATCAGATATTTTTTTACAGTGCACTCATGAAACCAAAAAACGCTTAGAAAAATTGATAAATTATGTCTACTTAGCAGTGTCTTCAATTTTAAGAATAAAGCAACTGAAATGTGTTGTCCTCGACAACGAGGGAAACAGAGTTAACCAATTTCACCACTCGAGCCATTAACAATGAGGAAATCAGGTTATGCAAACATTTTTTGGGGAATATTTGCAGGTACAATTCATGCTTTGAAATTACTTCACATATAGTGCGTGAGAATTACAAACAAATATTCAAAATGCAATGAAAAATTTACTATCATACCGGATCATTTCAACCACTGCCTGACGCATATCACAAATTTATTTCATTGGTAATATTAATGATCAAGTCAATCAACGTTGTAAATTAAATACTGGAAGTAAAGGAGAAATTGTTGCTGCACTAAAAAATTTTTTTCAATCGACATAATCAGTGAATAAGTCTATTCTGTATTTCTCTCGACAAAATGCAACCTGATAACTATGAAAATTTTATTTGAGCTGACAAAACATTTGCATAATACCAAAAAAAATGCACCAACATTGAATGCGGTGACCATGGCTATTATTACAGTGCATTCAGACGCTCTATGTAAATATTGTGTGTTCAAATATTGTGTATCCAAAATCACTAAAATAAACATATTTGCAGCGAAATTTAAAGGAGTAAAATTTTCACCTTATCATATGAACGGAAAGCCACATTAAAATAATGTATATTATTTTTATTCTGATATACGTAGTAATTCCGATATACGTAGTACGTAGTAATTTGTATTCCGATATACGTAATACATATCAGAGCAGAGGCATTGCAGCATGCGCTGTCCACAGCTGGTTTTATTTATCGAAATCTTGAATTTTTTATCTTGAAGCGTGTTTCAGTTCAATTTTCTTAAAAAATTTTATCAGCCCAAGAAAATTCGGAGCTTCACTTCGTATATTTTTAATTTTTGAAAATTCGTCCCTTTTTATCTGATTTTCTTAAAAAATTATCAAAAAAGTTTTGCAAAACATTTCGAGAAAAACAATTTACATAAAATTAACATAATGTCAAAAAAACTAACTGAAAGTATACCTACTCGATTCTTATAAATTACATTATTTTATTTCTTACATTTTCCCAACAGAATCATAGAAAAGTTGATTTCAAAATGCTTGCTGAATTCTTTTATTTTATACTTTCATATTGGAGAATTCGTTAAGTATTTAAAAACAATGAGTGTTATATTTTCTCAAATATTTTCTCATCTTTGTATATATAGTATTGATAGCCAGTATCAGATGTATTTCGTATTACAAAGTCAGATGTATTTGCATTGCAAATAGAGAGGAAAACATATAAATCTAAATATCTGCACTTTGGTTAGTAGAGTTTATAGAACTGATAATTAAAGATACATGTTTTCAATATTAGATTTGCATTTAAAATATCAATTAAATTAAAATATGAATTAAATTAAAATAATAACTAAATAAAAATATCAATTAAATTAATATATCAATTGAATTGAAATATTAATTAAATTAAATTATCAATCAAATTAAAATAACCATTAAATCAAAATATCCATTAAATTAAAATATTCATTAAATTAAAATATCCATTAAATTAAAATATCAAATAAATTTAAATATCAATTAAATTTAATTACGAAACGTAGCAAAAATTTTTAGAAAAGAGTGGAGCTGGAGTGGAGGTCTAAGGAAAATCTGGAGTCGGAGTTGGAGTCAAACATTTTAATTACCATTTCTATAGCTCTGATCCACACAATGGAATAATGCACAAAATCGGCAAATGTAATAAAGCTACAATATTTTATTTTTTATTTAATATTTTTCTTGATACTTTATACCTTTGGATGCACAATAATAAAAGATACACTATTACCACAGTGTTGGTAGTATTACAGTATTACGTATATTAGTAGATTTGATACCTATTAAAAACAATATTACTTACCGTAATACCTGCAATACTATATAATAAAATGAATTAAGCATCATAGGCGTCAATAACACTATGGCGCTTTTTTACAGTTCCACTATACAAATCAGTGCCTTTTCACCATTAACTTTTATTTTTTATCGATAACTTTTTCTTTTTCTACAATTACAGATGATTTTAAGGAACTTAATTTTAAAAAAAAACACATTTGAAAATCACAACTATAAACAAACCAATTAAGTGGCTTTATAAAACTATAGGAATACTAATTTTGTGACGTAGTCTACCAATACTTATACTAAACTTTATCTGACATAACCAATAAAATATAGTTAAATATTAATGAACGTTCAAGAAACTTATAAGCTAGCAAACATCACTGATATAATCTCTTAAATATTCGGGAAAAAAATAGAATCGTTTGCAGTTTCATTTTTATTAGTAGCAAGTTTTAAAACATTGAAAAAAATCATCTTTTAAACGTATCTCCTGAGCGATGGAATATCAACTTTTAAATGATTTTCCTGATCTGGGTAAAAATTATGCTTTTAACAATTGAAAATTAAGAAAAAAACATAAGGCATTTATATAAATACTAGGGGGCTAGGCCCCCTGTTCTCTGACGCTCACCAACCCCGACGATTGCTCTCTGTTTCTAGGTATAAAAGTAATGAAATTATTCAACTAAAAATATATGTACTAAAAAGAACACGTGTGCCTCCACTTCCCACGTCCAAATATTTCCCTTATGATACTATTAAGTGATATAAACTAAACTCAGTGGCGCGACAGCCCGTTGAGGGCCAAGGACTACTGTGCCCATCTCAGTTTTCTTGACCTTGGGCTCTGGGATGCAGGAGCAGATGTTCCGGTTTGGTGGCCAGCCGAACGCGAAAGCCCCAGTGTTTAGTTCCCAAGCATGCTTGGTACTCATTAATCGACCCACTGAAGGGATAAAAGGCTGAGTCAACCTTGCCCGGCCCGAGGATCGATCTCAGGACCTGTGGCACGGAAGCGCGTAGCACTATCACTAAGCCACCGGGCGTCATTAAGTGATATAAGTGAACATAAATCACTTTTCTAAGTAATCATGTTTTGAAATAACATTTAAAATTAAAAGTATATTATTACTCCAAATTTGGTGAGTTAATATTTTTGCTTACCAAACGGGCGAATGTATTTTATATTCAATTTTCGAGTTCATCACTTTATGTATGAAGTTGAAAGTTAAGTTCTAAATCCATTAATGAATCTCTTTAACTGTAATGAATCTCTTTAACTGTAATTCATAATAGTATATTAATGTAATTTGCCCAGAAAAAATAATAATTGTAAAACGTTTAATTACATCAGACACCGATTCAAATAACTTTATCTTCAAATATAACGTAGAATTACATTATAATAAAATTTATATTACGGAAAACAATCCTCCTAAATTCTTAATTCAGAAATCAAACAAAATCAAAAAAGTAATAATAACAGTACAGGTTATTTTAACCTTTAAATTAGGGACACAAAATTATTTACAGGAAAACAATAGCTATATGACTTATATCAATGTTATGAGCACAACTAAACGAATTTGAAAATTAATGCGGGAAAACCGAATGGAAAACTGTGATACCATCATTATATTTTTATATATAGTAAGAAATAGCTCATGGTAGAATTTAAATAAAAGCGATTATTTTAGATATTATATAGAAATGGTTTTCAAAAACGGATATTTAATACACCTATTATAAATAGTAATAAATAATATACCTATTACAAAAATATTTAGAATGTATCTATTATAAATCTGTTATGTGATACTTAAATTGCTTATTTGTATGCTTGAAATTATATTATCAGACATAAAAAAAATAAATCATGCTTGATTACTGGAATTATTTTTTTTTCTCCAACATTTTTATAATTAATCTAAATAATGCTTGGTATAAGAGAGAATATAAAATGCTTATGAACAAAATATCTTTTTATTTTCTATTTTCATTTATCTTTTCATCCACTCATTCTTTAATAATATAATCAAATAATTAATGCGGTTAATAATTTTATTAATTTACAACCTATTTAAAGCTATTTAAAACTTAAGCTTAAGTTTAAAAAAGTAGTTTATCTTACCTTTAAGTAATTCTAAAGAAAGTTACACAATTCAGAGTAAAATTTTTCAACCCTGATTATTACGAATGTGTAAAAAGAAATTCTGTTGTGCAGAACACGTTAATTGTAACACTCACATGTAAAATTGGCAAATTTTAGGGCTATATCTTATAGTTCAATAAAAGAGAAAAATGAAAATATATTTTCACTTCAGAGTGCATAAAGAAAAACTATTTTAAGAAGAAACATTTTTTGGAGGCGCATGCGCGTTAGTAGTTATGCGAAAAAAATTGAGAGAAGCGCACATCGAAACTAAGTACTTAATTATAAACAAGTTGAGAACACAAGAGCAGACATTATGCAAACATCGTGTAATTGCTTCTCTTGATGAAAAACTTTCAGGGATTACAAAAACAAGCAAAAAATATAAATAAATGACAAACTTCTCTTCTGGGGTATGCTTTTACAGTTTAGGCTATTAAATATATTAACATATTTTTATCGTTCAAGTATATTAATCCAGAAAAAAAATTACTAATTATTTTGTATTATGATTGAAATATACAACATAGAGATTGTAATAAAATATAACTTGTTTTTGCAGTTTTTATACACTATTTATAATAAAAATTGAAATATTTTTTTCAATGAGTAAACTAGATCGTGCATTATTAATTTAAATTATTCTACATATAATTTTTTGTTCACGTTGATAAATAAAAGAAAATATGAATCTTCGTTACTAGAAAGCGTTGATTTTTCTTAAGAAGTACTTTATAATTGCAAATATTTCACAATGAATCAATACTTATGCTTATCCGTTTTCCGTAGCCATCATTAGATTTCAGTAGTCAGATCAAATTATGGTATCAAACATGGGCACCCAGGGTGCCAGTATTTTTTTTAAAAGTAAAATACATTTTTACCGGAACATGCTAAAGAACAAAAAATCTGATATAATGTAATTTTTAAAATAATGAATACCGTTAAATCACTGAATCACCCTAATTAAATAAATATTACTGAAACATTTACTGTAAAAAAACTTAACGTAAAAAAGGATTTAACTATAAAATGATTTTACTGATGATGTACCCAAAGTGCCGTCTCTTTATACTGTAATTTGATCAGGGATTTTCACTTTATACATGTTTTATGATTTCAGTGTAATTCATTATAATAAAAGCTAAGTGATAAGCATCTATAATTACTAACTTAGGGTTGACATTTCTCCCGGAGAAAAAAATTAGTAACATGAGTAACTCAATATAAGCAAAAAATGAGGTTAATTTGATAATTAAATGTAAGTAATACATAAACAGGAGGATCAAACTAAATAATCTACTAATATATATTTGCATCATGCGAAAGAGCAACGATAATTTGCTTAAGAGGATATTGAAATAATTTGCAAGAACGAAAAATCATTAAATTGTTTTTCTGCTTAGTTTTTATTTATTTATTTATTTTAGCAACTTAAAACTGTTAACTTATAGAAAATGTGTTTTAGAAGAGTGAAAAAAATAAGCATGACATTTTATAAGATATTTCATAACATATCATATTTTTATAATTTATACATCATATATGAGATATTTTACAATAATAACTCATAAAATATGGATTTATTTATCCTTCATATCCGATTTATTTTGTAATGTTTGGCATATGTTTAAACGACATATGTTAAAAATAGCATATGTACCTACAAATTGGATTTATAAAAAATATATATAAGTATTTTACATCGAAAATTGAATCGAAATTAATGTTCTCAAAGACTTTGAATTGTAAGGTCCAACTTTTTTATTTTACATTCAATGTTATCTTTAGAAACCAAAACGAGGCATTTAGTTTACCAAAATGATCGAATGTTAATAAATGTTTATGAAAGATAAATTTATTACCACATCGCGAGTATTTAGCTAGTTTCAACTTTTCGCCAAACAGCTAAAATTTTCATATACTCAAGTTATTTAGGCAAAATATCATCTTTGCCAATTGCGTTTCTACTCTATTAGAATTTTCATTCTAAAATTGAGGTAAAATAACTGGCAGCAGTCAGTTCATCCAATTAACAGTAAAGTTTAAGGTAAAGAACTTTTTTTCCTTTACGGTTTTGAAAACGTTTCCAAGTAGTATGGTTAGAAAACCATAAATACAAAACTATACGGGTTTTAACCATTTACGACTAGCATGGTTTCAAAACCCTACTGGACATTGGGGATAGCTTAGAACTTTATGGTGCGGCCATCTATGCGTGAATTAAAGCATTGTATTCTAATTGCCCAGGGTCATAAATTAAGGAGAGCAGGACAACGGATTTCCTTCATAAATTAATGGGAATGGAGGAAATATTGTAGAGCCAATGATGGGACTCGAACCTCAGTTCTGTCAGTCATGAAATTGATAGATTAGCCCTCTCGGCTATATTTAATATAGAATTTTGGATAATCTGGATAATATTTTATCACATTCCTGATATTATTTAATAATTTTTGACGTGAAAAAATTGATTTTTATAATAATTTTTAATAATTTTTTAATGTTGAGGTAGACTAATATTTTTTACAGTGCATGTAGTCTGTTTTTATTTTACTTTTTCACTAATATAGTTTGGTTTATTTATTAATTTATTTTGTGTTCTTTTGTTTACATACAACACATATTTTTAAGAGCATTAAAATCTATTTAATGGCTTCATTGCAAAAACATTTCGCTTAAAAAAACAAGCACATTTTTGGTATTATATTCATACTCATTCTTTCAAATAATTATTTTATTGTCAATTTTATATAATTTTTTGCTCTATAACTACTGTTTTGTACTTTAAAATGTTTTTTGTTTTCTCAATTCTAAACATGTTGGCAACTGTACACCAAATGGTTTTACTGCGTACTATAAACTCATTAAGTAAAGTCAGTAAAGTGAGAACAATTGAAATTTTGTAATTGGAAAAGAAAATAGGCTAAGCTCACTCTCTAGAAAAAAGCTGCTGACAACCGGAGAAAAAATACTCAGAATCTTTTGTTGTCACCATAGTGAGTGGTTCATCAATTCATCTTTGAAGAAAGCAAAGTATCTTTTTTTAGCAGTGTTAAGAATTTATACCCATGGATTAGTGAAAAAGTAATAAAAAATCGTGGAATCTCATGCATTGTCTGAAGTCACAGGTTTTTAAGTGACGAGAAAGTTTATTTTTAAATTCACTTAATGTTGCGCTCACTTATTTGCCATTGAAATTTCACCAAATACATATTTTTCTTTGAATTTTTTTTTCTTGAAATTGAAAGAAACAACATAATAGTCATGATTTTTATTTTGTAAAGTAAGTCTCTGATAAGTCTTAGTGCAGTATTTATATCTTAAGTAAGCGAAGAAAAAAAGGATAGCTTCTAATAAATTTTTGCATAAAAGTTTAAGAAGTATTATAAACTTGTAATAATGGATGCTAAGCATTATAAAAAAAGATAAATGGGCAAAATATTCTCGTTATAAAGATAAGAGGACGAAAACAAACGACAGCATTCCCTCATGGTATATTTTCAATATTTTTTATGGGAAACTTTTTGTTCTAAAATAACCTCAAGAGTCTTAAAATCATTGATTGTGGTCAATGTCTATATTATATATGCAATAAGATTTAAATAAATCTTGAAAATCGGCGTCTAATCTTTAAAAAGTAGCATCAACAGTTTAAAAAACTTTTAAAAAAGGAGAAAACTTTTGTTGGTTTTAATCGACAAACGAAAAAAATTATTCTAAAGTTTATAAGGAAGAGATTTAGAATTAAATTCTTTTGAAAATAATGTACAGTGTTAAACATTATTGTTATCAGAAATATGGTGTACCATCCTATACTGACAGATAGTTTACAACATTCGTGCAGAAATACTCCAGCTGATTTTCAAGAAAATAATTAGTTTGAATCAAATTCTCAGGTGTAATAGAGAACGTTTCCCTTCAATCTGAGCAATTTATGCAAAAAAAAGGAAGAGATAATTAAAACTATAAAAAAAAAATTATAAAAAATAATTAAATGCAACAACTTTACAATACTCTTATATCTCATCAAAGTTGCGTTGTTTAGAATAAAATCCATCGATATACACCAATTTTGAAAATGCGCTTTTCTTTTCATTTTTTTCTTTCTTCTTAATATTTTTTTTAGGTTTCTTGCCCTCAACTGAATACAAATAACCATGAAAATATCAATGAAACGCATGTTTTATGCGTGTTTGAAAACCACATATCGCTGCAAAACCTTAAAAGTTTCTAATTCAGTCTCGTTTTCAATTAATAAAGTTTCTTCCCTTTTTTTTCTTCTTTACTACGAAGTAACTTGAGAAAACAGTATTCCCAATAATTCAGGGAAGGAAGAAAGGAAAAAAGTAATCTGACGTCATAGAAAAAAAAAAGATTTAGTCATTAATAAGTAATTTGCTTGCAGTTTTTTTTAATTTCATCTATTTATTATTATGTCTTTTAGTTAGCTTTTGAGTCAAAATATTCAGTGTTATCATTATTAAAATGGTTCATTTTTACAGGTCAATTTTCTGCAGTCCTAGTCTTATAACATCAAAATAATTTCTAATATAGGTAGTTCACATATATTTTACTCTTAATTTCCGTTCTGTTTGAATTAAGAATAATAAATTTTTTTAGCAAAACCAAACAACTCCAATACCAGCCTATTCCGAAATAAAAAAATTTATATCCTTCTATCTTAATGTAACCCTACCTCCTTATATTTCATTTAAAACACACTGTCTTATTGTGTCTTAAGACAATATGTTTTTATCCCTACCTCGTTTTAGTTCAGTGTTGCAGAAAATTAGTTTTCCCTGAAAAGTTAATATTTTGCAGATAGTCGACATTGTAACTAAACGACACAGTTGTAATTCATGGAAATCCTCAAATTATTTCCCAGTTGTTTTCAATTACAGTAATTTAAATGTTTATGATAGATAATAGAAGAGCATATATTGAAACAAAGTAAAGAACATCAACCTACACACGTATTTAGTATTCGTACAATTTTTACAAAACAAGAATTTCTAGAATTTACCGACATTCTGAAAAACGTGAACCAGACAGACATGACATAAAGACATGTGTCTATCAGGAACTGGTCAGTTGCGAGATCAACTGAGTGGCGAGTTAAACTTTTATGAAAAAAAATAACGTTTTAAAAAAAGGTTAAATATCTCTTATCTTCAACTCAT